ACCCCTGCAATGGATGGGTTTTCTGACTGCTGCAAGACCCTGGTTTGGTAATGAACTTGGGCTTGAATGCATTACTGAACTCCTTGCCAACAGGAAATGGGATAGTGGTAATTCATGGCAGGCAGTGGCATCATGATCAAGCCATGTGTCACCTGGTTAATAATGATGAAGTGACAACTGAAGCAAGTGCTGTGGGGGACCATGTGACTGCTGTACTTGATTGTGATGGCAGTAAAGGTGACTACAAGGACGGTGGCATGGAAAGGACTTTTCTGGGTTCACTGGTTTGCTTACAGAAAGAAAATAACAAGATCAGGCCTTTAAACTTTCAGCCTAAGTCATATTCAGAGACAGAGACATTTTATGGCAGCCATAAAATAATCTTATAGCTGCAGGGCTGATATTGTCAAAAATCAAATACATAATTGAATTATGCATGTTGCAGAATGACAATGCAAGTGGAGTTCACTGCCTCAGGAAATCTTTCATGTGGAAGAAATGGCACTGATTATGAAGGAGTGGAACCAAAGTATTCGGGACATCTCTGGGTGGGCTCAGACAAAGCTGAAGATCTTGAACTCCTGAAGTAGCCCATCCTCTGGTATCTGAGGAGAGTGGCCTTCATGTTTTTGAATATCCTATAATAATCTCACCTGGAGCACTTGTCTTGCAAGAGGATGCCAGTTCTCCTAAAAGCCCACACCAACCACCCTGGACACCTCTTGTCCCATAACTAGAGTCAGATCAGCATGCTGCAGGGGGCAAGCACAAAGGCAGACCCCGGGAGGAAATAGCTTGTATCCAAAAGAATTGCAAATTTTGTTCATTTGTGCCAGCAGAAACTTGGGGATTTCTGCTGTGTGGGTCTAAGGCTGTTAGAGTAAGGAGGATGGGATATGATTTTCCATCTGGTCATTTTATTGATCTGGGTGCACTTCACAGAAAGTCTGTATTTAGCTTGTTATCTTATGCAGCTAAATGTGATTATCTGTCAGGTTTCTTGGTTGGTTAGCTGAGCACTGAACTCAGTGGTGGCCTATGTTTGATGAGATTAAGATGCCAGACCGTCCCTGGCATCATGTAGAGAAAGGAAGCCAAAGACATACTGAAATAGAAATGCTGGAGTGGATCTATCATACATGATGTGCACACCCACTGCCCACTGAGAGGGCCCAGAGGACACTCCTTCAATAAGGCATTGAGAGAACGTAGGTGGGGGAAACACAAGCATCTGGGATAGCTCTGTGGTGGCCATTCTCCTCAGGCCATGGATGATGGTGGGAGATACTGCATTGAAATGAGGTCCCTGATTGCAGTGGGGATGGTGGGCCCCCACATGTTTGGGAAAAAGAGAGAAGTAAAGCCAGAGCTGGAAGAACAGAGGAATCCCATTCATGGTTTTTAAAGGCAAAATAGAATTATGTTTTCGCCTGTATCTATGACAAAGCTCCAGTGGTCATCTCCTCTATAGGCATGGGTATATGTAGGATGCGTCTGATCTTACCCAACACCATGTCCTGTAGTTTGGGAGACTCGCGTTATCTTGAGAATGAAGACATGGATTGCATAAATTAATAAAAAAACAAAACACCTTATCATAGACTATTTCAAACATGCAGAAGCAGAGAAAATAGTATAATGTGCCTTTAAGTCCCCCAGCTTAAGCCATTATCAACTGATGGATAAGCTTATTTTGTCTTGGGTCCATTCATTCCATTATATTTTTCCAGCTTTATTGATGTATAATTGATAAATAATAATGATATATATCGAAGGTGCACAATGTGATAATTTTATATACGTATACATTGTGAAATATTTACCACAGTCAAGTAACTCAGCATATCCATCAGCTCACTTTTTTTGTGTGTGGGAGAATGTTTAAGATCTACACTCGTAGCAAATTTCAAGTATACAATACAGTATTATTAACTATAGCCACCACCTAGCCCATTATTTTAAAGCAAACCAGTTGTCATATAACTTAATCTCTAAATAATTGGATGTGTTTTTGAAAGACAAAGTCTTTTTAAATCACAATACAGTTAACACACCTAGAAAAATGAACAATTCTTCCTTTACCGTCAAGTAAGACGGTTATTAAGATTCGATGAAGTGAGCTAGCACTCTTTTCTGAAAGAGGAAAATGTGCATCCCTTATCAGAAAATCAGGTGTAATCGACTTCAGCTGAGGGCTGCGTCTGCATAACCTACTGGAAACCTTAAATTTGCTTTCTTGAGTAAACTACACTTTCACCCCTTGGGAGGGGCCTAAAAGTCTGCCCCTTTTACCCCGGGTGGGACTCGAACCCACAATCCCTGGCTTAGGAGGCCAATGCCTTATCCATTAGGCCACCGGGGCTGACAAGAGCGAGGGTCGCAATGGTCATAGATCACTCCCTCCATCGCTTTCCAGTGGTTCCTGCAGGTTA